TATCTCTTTCCATTTTTGATAATTACTCTTAGCGTAAAAAAAGAGAATTTATCGTTTAATCATATATTTCATTTTTATTTATTTTCCCTTGTTTTATAAAAATAAAAGAAAAATGCGCTCTCTGTCCCAAGTAATCCAGTGAATTTGGATACAGCCAGGAATATTCCCCTGGCGTCGTAATTCAGCCGTACGTTCTTTTAAATGCTGCTAGATTGCAACCCTGCTATATTAAATAGTATAGCGGGCAAGCTGATCTGTCCCTCTGCCTGTCTGTCTGAGACCGGCCTATGTACATGTGTAACCCATACGCCACCGTTTTTTAAATATTTGGGCAATACGCTGTTATGGGCCAGGAACGAATCGTATTAAAAATGACTCCACTATATATATAACGCTTTATTTGAAGGTGTTTTTTGGGAAAAATTGTAATTGTTCGTATTTCCGGGAAAACATTTGTAAAAGATAGGATTTCGGCATAAAAAATAGATATCGAGAGTGTGGACCAGAGGTGGTTGTACCTTGAGCTATCTTTCATACAACCTTTCCTAAGGAAAATGAGTGTTTATATAAAACAAGAGATCCAAGTTTTTGGTGTAAAATAGTTCGTAATAGTTACTTAAAACAAGAAAACAACTAAGTATACGAAACTTAAACTACTTAGATATTTTTTACATCCCACTCTTCTCCCGTCCATTTTACTAATAACGTTATGAAAAAGAGATCTGTAGTCGAACTGTAACCTAGTTGAATAAAAAACAACATAACACGCGCAACATTTGATCTAAATTATTATTTTATATAAATGCGACATCTCAAAAAGCATGTATATTCCGCTTCCCCGTAATGCAATGTAAGTTGTAGACAGTGAGCGACTCTGCTGCTACAAGAATGTGTCCTTTCACTGTTCACGAGCAGCGCTATTTTCCTAAGGCTAGAAATAGCTCTTCTTATTCCACAAAGATTTGGGGGTATTACAAAGGCGAAATGTTCGTATAGACGGGATCACACTTTCTATGTTTCTCCTACCCAAAGCGGATCACACTCTTCAGGTTGCTCTTTACGTAGTAATTGTTCAAATTCAAATAATTCATTTACAACAACACGCTCCAACTATCAACGAAAGTGATCTTTTAGAAGCCCCCATTTAAAATCTCTCTTTGAGTCTATGCATTCCACATGATACATCGGCTGAAATTCTTAAGCATTGTATATATAATAAAAGAAATAGTAAAATTCTACTAAAAATTCATATCCTCAGCCGAGAAATAATTTTGGTCGAAAATATCGCTTGTAGAATATAGCAATTATAGTGCATGTACATTTATAGTTAATAAAATAATAATATGGCGTTACATGGGCAGTAGTCAAAAAACTGGTCAAATTGTTCCTTGAGCCAAAAAACGTCAGTGTACAAAATTTCATTAAAATATCTCGCAAAATTGTGGTCCGTAGGTTGAACGCAAGAAAAATGTGACGGACAGACAAGCTAAAATCAATTCAAAGAAAGTGATTTTGAGTCGTTAAGTATAATGACAGGGTGGCTCTATCTCAAATCCTCCGGGAAATAATATACTCTTATACCACAAGTTCAGTGGGGTAAAAAGGAACTTTGCTAACAATACTAAGTCTATTTGAACTTATCATAATTTATTTATGTACATTTATTTGTACATTTACATTATTATCTAGGATTTGCGTTCTTGTCGTAACTAGAAACGTAATGGTTCACAATAATCTTTCAACTTTAAACCTTCTTTAGGCACATTAGTTGCTACTAATGTGGATGTTACCAGAGCCCAGGCCGTACGTAAGCGTTACGTATGTTATCATACCGTATCGCTCGACGAGATCGGAAACACGAAATCTCTTCTTACGTTTGCTTGATATTTCGTTCTAGCTTTTGCTATATTTCTTTATTAATATTAATTTTCAATACCTGAAATAAAATACAGTATAAAAAAAGAGCCTCTGTGACATCCAAGACGTCAATAACAAAATAATCAAATTATTTATGATATAAATTTCGGCAGCAATCTAATTTCAAGTTTGATTTAACAAACTGTGCATCAACTTAGTAATGATAATATTTTGATAATAATGAAATTTACAGGAAACTACAGATTTTACTAACAAGTGTTTTATATACTTATATTTGCATTTTTGTGGTTTATTTATATTTAATCAATCAACATTGTGAATTCTACTAACGAATGTTACGTATATTTGGCAAACAAAGATTTTCTTATTATTATCATTAGTTTAGCGAAGGTGGACTAACTATTTATTAATTTTATAACCAAGTATTTTAGTCGAAATTTATAGTCGTTTTTGCAATGCAACAGCTGTTAACAAATAATTCAACTAAAAAAATATAGAAAATGTTTGAATTTATATTGGTGCTAAGAAGCTTAGCTACTCTGTTAAAAGGCAAAGCAGTAGTAGAATAATCCGTTAAATGGCAAAGCAGTAGTGGAATAATCTGTTAAAAAGGCATAGCAGTAGTGGAATAATCTGTTAAATTGCATTGCCTCCGGCAAAACTTACTTTCAGATGCTTGCGAATTGTGGTGGATTTCAGGGCCGCTCACTTAATTTACTCTCAGATGCTTGCGAATCGAGATGGATAGAAATCACAATTAATCAAACAGTTTTTGAAAATCTTCTAGAATTGACAGTTGATAAAAGGCAACACAGTCGAAAAGTTGTCAAAAATTGGAAAAAAACAATGTTTGCTTACCAAACGTTTCAAATTATAAAATAAATGAAAGCGATTCTCACACATACATGCCACCAAACTTATTACATTCTTGTGTGGAAGCGCAAGTCCGGCAAGATATGGTTAAAAACTTTATCCCAAAATGTAAATATGCCTGAAGCCTCGTCATTGCCCAAAAAAATCATGCATATAAGGTCTGCCATGTTTGCAATTAACAAAGGAAAGTGCAACGTCTAAGTGAGTATTACGTATTACGCGAGCCCGGAGTCGGCAATTCACTAAAGCTATTAGTATTTCCTAGATTTTGTCTACGTTTGTGATGTTAAAAGCAAACTTTTCTGGTCGTACAATATACTTTTCTGGTCGTACAATATACTTTTTTGGTCGTACAATATAATTTTCTGGTCGTACAATATAATTTTCTGGTGATTGTGGTGGGCATATCCAACATTCGCTTTAAACAAATTCAGTTTTCTTAATTATTAACTCATAAGTAATTTGACTAATCCAATCGCACAGGCTTTTCGCACTATAGTCACTAGAGTTTGGAATAAATTTTCGGAAAATGCTTACTCTGTTGCCCTGGATCCAAAAATTAGAACCAACACCAAAGAGAAGAAAAAAAAAGAAACGAAGAGAGCTATTACGTTCTTATTTTGTTTTTGAAAAGCTTTTTTAGATGCTCTTCTATGCTCTTTTACATGTAAACGAGGCAAACCTAAAAGAAGAGGACAAGACACGCCATTGAGTAATATACACGACTTTAGCAAAAAATAGCGGCGACAACAGAATATTTGTTGCTTTTATAAATTTATAAAATCATTTAAAGTGTTATTAAAAATTGTAAACAAATTGGACGCTTATTCTCACATGTTTGGAATTATTGAGAATCATTTACAGTTGGCGGCAAATTTTTATACGCTTATTCTCAGATGTTATTTGTTACACAGTCTCGGGTTTTTTGCAGGCAATTATTTGACTTTTGGTTTAGTTTCAGTAATGGCTCATAACATGTGCAAAGAGATGATACGGGATTAATTTAAATCAGAACTTTCCTTTTTTAGAAAATTTACTAGAAGAAAGCTAGTAAAATAGTACATGAGTATAAAGTGTCATATGAAGAAATTGATGAGTTTGAGAGTAAAAGAGTGTAAAAGAGAGTAGGTTCATAATCTAACTGTAAACTTCTAACTGTAGACTTCTACTGATACAGTTCGTAGTAAAATGCACAAAATTACATATTACACTTTGTTCCCGTGCAAGGATCAAAGGTCGGCAAGAAAAGGTTTGCAGGTGGTATTGGCGGCGCTGGAACTAATATGTGCGATATGTGTGACATGTGAGGAGTAGCTTTCGTTAATTTTGGTTAGCAACTTCTACCAGTAAAAATAGTGAAGTTATACGATATAAAAGTGAACATAACGGTTCAATTCGATGATGTTGATCTTTCTCTAGGCTATTTGCCTAGTTCTGCTTAAGTTTCGAAGTTCCAGGTAATAACAATTTCGATACCAATAGATATGAAGCTCATCATTCGGAATAAATTTTGCTTACCAAGTAATGCATATCCAACATCAAATCAGATTTAAAGGTAAGGGAAATGACTTCAAATTGAAAGCGATGTCTGACATGTGATATGAAACGCACCTACACAAGAGGAAATAAATTTTCCTTCTACTTTAGCGAACACATAAAGAGCGAATTTATTCGATAATAAATTGTACAGCGCAGTATTCAATTAGATATCATTAACTTCGCTGTTTGTTTATTTATTTATTTAAGTATTATGAAGCATTTGTGTTTCGAAAATTTTAAAGAAAATACTGGTAAATTAGAATGCGTGGGAAATTGTTAGATAAAGTCTTGTCAATTATTGGATTTTTTCTATACAAATAACAAAATTTTTGCTATGCTATAGTTACGTAAGCCCGCACCACGCAGAATATTGCATAGAATAGGGACTTTTTATACCCATCACCTGTGAGTATAGTCATTTTGTCAAAACCTTTACAACGCCCAGAAGGAAGTGTCAGGAACCCCACAAAGTATAAATGCATTTTAACATGTCCGCCTGTTCGTCTGCCTATCAGTCATATGCGCATTTTGTTCTTTTACTTCTTTTGTTTGAACGCTGATGGGTATTACAGATTCGGGTCGGGCCGAATTTAATTGCTTTACTTGTTTCAAATAGGATTAAATCTGATGGAACTTTATAAAGAAGTTTGTCTATTGAGGCTTAAGTAAAATGGTATTCTTTAGCTCTTCATCTGAACTAAAATGAAGCACTTAGGCAGAGCCATGCATTTGTATTTAAGTTATGTATTTCAAGAATTATATGTCAAGAATGCGAGGTGTTATAAAGTTAATGGATTATTATATTAAAGTAACTTAGCTTTAATCAACTCCATTTTGTAAAGATTTTTAAACCAAAGAATGGTTTCTTCTGCCTAACTTTAATTCGATAAATATTTTTGCTAAGACACTTAACGTGGTCCGAATAGGTATTAACAGCTCATTAATAAAACTAAAAGAGCGAGCTTAACCATCTTGTCCGCAAATTTAATTCCACTTGAATTTTATTAATTTAAGTGAAATTTTCTATTTTTTCACTTGCTTGATATTTTCGTGGTCCTCCTTTTCATTGAAGATCTCGGGAACAAGATTTCATAATAAGATAATATCGCGATTGATTTCCTATATGGGACAAATTTTACCGTTTGTGTTTTACAATCTTATCTTCAAGAGTAGCGTTCGATTTTTTGTAAACGGCAAGAGATTCGTTCTCGAACTTAAGCAGTTGGATTTTATTGGAGACTTTGTTTTTACAGGGCGTTTCTATACACTTTGAACATATCCGTTGTTCAAATTTTTAAGATCAGACTTTCTGAAAAAAGTTTGACCGTATTCCTGATTCCGAACCAATTAAAATGATAAATAACGCGATGTGAAGAGGCGGACAAGCATTGTTAAATCCACTAGAATTTCGATGTCGACTATGAATATTCTAATCTTATCGATTTCTGAATCATATTATCACACCGTCGAAGCAAAAAAAGAAAATATATCAATTATGAATCTAACTTTAGTTTTCGAAAATCTTTACTCATGCAAAGCTAACGAAGGTTCTTAAATTCTAAATATTCACGTACATTGTTGGGACACATAATATTTTTTCCCAAAAATAAAACGGTGGACATAGGATGCAAGAAGTCGGCTGAGAAAGGCTTCGCTTTCCAGCCAAAAAAACCGTTCGCTTTTACCTCATTGCCGCTAATTTCGAAGGGTAATAAATTAACACCAATTTGATTAATTTTGGAGAATTGAACTCGAAAATAGTAGCCATCAGTAGCTTTGATCCAATAGAAACCTAGAAAAAGAGTTTAAAGAAAATGCAAAAATTTAACAACTTAATGGCAAAATAGATATCAACTCAAATGTTCTTATTTGAAACGTCATATTGGACTAATATTTAATAGTACATCACCTTCATTATCGACAAAAGGTTTGTTTTGTGATTTTTTCATTGCATTCGAACGCTCCAAATCGGCAACATTGAAACTGACATCAATATCATAAGCATCCGGAGATAATTGACTCGTTTCAATGGCGGTTCTTAAGGCCATGTTATCGAGCCAATAGCGAATGCCAACATTTTCAAATTCTTCAAGAATATGATTAAAAGTGCTCTTCAATTTATCCAAACAACATGGTGGGGTGTGTTTACCTAAGAAAATGTAGAATGCACGTTGGTTGTAGACGGTACCGACACACGATTTCGTTGTTCTCTCACAACCAATTAAATCGATTTCAGTTACTAAAGGCATAGAGAAATTGGCCGAAGAGAATTGTGAATCGAGAATGATATTGCGCTGGGGACTGCTTGCGTCCTTCGACTCCGTTTTCAGGTTAACTCTATGAGAACGACGAATAATCCGTTTAATTTGTAGCTTTTTGTACATGTCACGGAACTGGCGCCTACGCATATCTAGGCGGCGTTGTTTCGTATGGTAGGCAACAAAAAGACGTCGGCCGTCTTGAAATGCTTGCGGAAATACAAATTTCTGCAAAGATATATAATACACGTAGCATATAACACAAGTAACATATATTTGAAAATGAAAAATTTTTTATCTCTTATAGAATTATTTATTTACCGTTATATTATTCAATTTCGCTTGTATATAAAACATTTCTGGAAAAGGTGATGAGATAGGGTCAGGCATTTCTTTCAGGACGCCCACATCGACCAGGATAGCATGTTTCTGTAAATACTTTTTGTAATAGAAAAACAATGTATTAAGTGTGCAATGTATTAAGTGTGCCATAGACTATTCCTTACCAGATCGCATTTGTCACTGCTACTGTTAACGGCCTCATAATGTATGGTCCAATTTGGTAAATCCAAAGTAATTTGCAGGCAACCAGCAAATGATTTGAGATTCCCGGAAAACGGTACAATTATCATTCTTCGTACAATGTCGTCCGGCAAAGCATTAAGTTTAGTTTTACTTCCACGTGAATCCTTTTCCCAAATATTCGTATTGATCTCACGGAGAATTTTTTGCAATATATTTCTACTATTCAAACGCACGCTATCAGGCATAAATAGAACATATTTCGTGTGAATAAGTGATAATGGATTCAATTCCTGAACTGGTTTCTTTATATCAAATCCCAAATTTACAAAGCGCACGTTAAACTCTTCCATTTTGGATGCGGTTGCATTACGTTCATAAATTATTGGCGGATAGGGTATATTGTCCTGGAATACAACTATCGGCATATTGGGTAAGACATCAAGAATACTATCAATCGATTCCTTAATATCATTCTCAAAAGTGTAAAAATTTCGAAAAGCAATTGTAATCGATTTACGTATATGTTTAAAACTATTGCGAGTTTTATCTTTTAAAGAAGATTTCACGTTTTCCATATCGGAGGGAGAGTTCACAAAATCACTCGTCTTTAGATTGGGCAAAGCCTCCAAAGTGGAGGCAATGCTCTTCCATAGCGTTGATTTCCATGAGTAATAGAATAATATTAAATTAGCAACGACTATTAAAAGGACAATCAGTTTAGCGTGCCTTAAACGCATAAGTTTCATATCTTTATAACAACGTTTAATGTAAACAAGAGTTTTTACACTATCTATCTAATTCATAAATGTCGGCACCACGTCCCAATATGTCTAGTGTATGATGGTTGCGACTTTTATTGCCCCCAGTATGGCCAAGTGTATGCGTTTAAAACTTTGTATTCCATTTTACACATTTTAATTACATTTATATATATATATATAGATATATATGTATATATACATTTTTATTTAGTTAATAAACAACTCATTTAATTATTGTAAATTTTTCTAATAATATCATTGGTTTACAACAAACTTCTCTAACTCTTAAAACATTTATTTCCAATAAATTTGACAGCTAGGACGTAAGCTTTCTTTTCCTCTTTCGGTATTTCTCCTTTTTCATTTTTAAGCTTTCTCCAAAATATCATTACATTAACTTTGAAAGCTTTCTCTTTAACGCTGTTTGCTTAGGACCTAAAAATTAACAGAATTTTACATTTCACACAAAACTTATTTTTATTAAAAGCTAGAAATTATTCTATTTTACATAAACCGTTTCGCTCTATTCTTTACAATTCACTTTGCAGCTGTCTGTAATCGAAAAAAAACTAATTTGCATTCATCACCATTAACACAAATCGATGCACGATTTATATAGTCTTTACAAGAAAATATATAAAAAGTTTTACACTTTTTTCGTAATTGCGTACTTATGTCAATTCTTGTTGAAACCTGTAAACAATAATAATCGGAACCATACCTAGTTGCGCGGCAACTCCATAAAGTTAATTAATCTATGTTAGGATTATGCCTGTTCTCTGCAGCCTTCATACTTTCGTTTACAGCGTCATATCCTCTTAAAGAAAGGCTGTCAAACTACATTCACTAAGCGGTCTCAAAAAACGAAACTTTTCCCATTAAAATTTAGGATGTATTTTGTACCGCAACGTTAATTTCTTTTTAGTACGATAATCGGATATGTTACATAGATTATCAAAACTACAAAAAAAATATTCATGATCAGCCTTAAAGCCTTTTGTGGGGTCCATAGTTACACAATGCACAACATCGCCATCTTTTAAAAGCAATTCTTGATGAGTGAACAGTATTATTGGATCATTCAATATGAAAGTTGCAAACGGTGACAGACAGTCAGATTTGAGCGATTCGAATATCAATAGCTTTTCAATTCAGCTTTGATTCTAAGCAGCCACTTCTGATAGAAGGTTCATTTATAGCAAGCTAAGCCCGGTCAGCAAATGATTTCATAGAGCAGCCCGCAAAAAAGACATTTTTTATGCAATTTATGTTATGGTACAATTGGTTGAAAAGCAAAAACTAAAGCTTTCCCTGATTGATGTTGAGGTTATGTCTGATCTCTGTGGCCATTCGAAAGTCATTAACATTATTGGCCCGTCTAGCGCAAAACAAAACAAAAGTTCAAAACGAAAACAAAAGCCTTTTGCAAATTGAGATTGTGGTTATATTTTATCTCTATAGTGTGTAAGTACCAATCGAAGCCTCCTGAAGGCTTAGTTTAAACGGTGTTAGTAATAACGGAAGTATCATAACTCCGTTGTTCCCCGCAAGAAAGTTTCGAGAGCGATTTTCGATGTACGAAAATGTTTGGAACGAAGTTTTCTTTATTCAAAGCTTGGTGAGTTGACGACGCACTTTTGTATTTTCGAAGAAAGTAAGTGGGCACATCTTTTCTTCTCACTTTTAATACATCATTAAACTCCGTTATTCCGCAGATCTCGATCAATATTTTTTTTGAATTTCATAAATTTCGCAAATGTTTGAAACAAACGCGGAACCAACGGCAACTCCTAAGCAACTCGGCATTTACGCACAAAATTAGTCCCTCAATATAAAATGGCGAGAATGTCAAATGCCCAAGCTTTCTTTAAATCACAGCTTTCTTTAAAGCATGGAACTTAGTTAGTTAAAAGCTTCAAAACATACTTAAAGAAAAAATCTACCATAATTGACACTTATGCACAAATTTGAATAATAATTGTTTAAACCCTACTTTCCAATGGCTGGAAATAATATAGGGAACGGTATTTCGTCATTGTTATTTTTATGTGGCGTGGGTGGCCTAGGATCTGGCTCAGTACATCCCGACAACCAATAAGTTACCACGGCACCTTTGCCTTTCAGTTCGACTTCGCCACGCAGCTCCATCTCAAAAGTACCAAATTTATCGAAAATAGTTTTAGTGGCCGATGAAACATGAATTTTTAAAGCTACACATATATAAATAGAGACAAAAACCATCAGTTCTTTTCACTTTAAAGTGATATAACTTACGTAAGCCGGCTGACTCCATGCGCGAAGCAGTATTGACCGTATCACCGAATAAACAATAATGTGGCATTTTTTGCCCAACAACACCAGCGCACACGGGACCTGAATGAATACCAATACGTATCATTAGCTGGTAGTCGGGCTTATGCTTAATACTGAAACATTTTACAGCGTCCAAGATAGCCAATGCCATAAGACCAATTTCACGTGCATGATTATCACCATTTCCTTCGGGTAAACCCGACACCACCATATAAGCATCGCCAATTGTTTCCACCTATTATTTTATATAAATAATGGCATGTGAGAAGACTTAAGTTATTTCAGAGATTACCTTATAAACGTCATAAAAACCGATGATGCGATCAAAAGTACTATAGAGATCATTCAGAAAATCCACAACTTCCATTGGTCCACTTTGCGCACACAGGGCCGTAAAACCTACTATATCACTAAAATAAATGGTAACACATTCGAATTGTTCTGGTTGCACCATTTCGCCGGCCAACAGTTGGGTTGCAACCGGTCGTGGTAAAACCTGATAGAGTAACTCTTCTGTACGTTTCTTCTCAATACTTAATTGTTCGGTCTTCTCCTCAACCAAACTCTCCAAATTGTTCGCATATTGTTCCATACGTCGCAGCAAATCATCCATAAGATTTTCACAAAAACCCCTTCAACAAGAGTTACAGGGCAATAGATTGACTAAATATTTAAGCAAATTGAAGGTGAAAGAACTTACTTCATAATCAATCGAACGGTTGAACGTATAGTGGCAAATGCAGGTCGATCGTCTGGATTGTCAGCCCAGCATTTTTCCATAAGATCCAAAACATCGGGAGGGCAATCCCTTTGACCTATAAAAGGTCGAAAAGGAGTGCTTTCGTGCGATTCCACGCGATTCAAAATAGTCTGAATGTCCATGAATTGTCGAGCCGTCTCATAGGGACCACCACGCATCACAATTTCTTCGAGAATTATAGCAAAAGAATATACGTCCCCTTTCTGTGTAGCTGGATTTCCAGGAAAAACTGTTACAGGCAACAACTCTGGCGCGATCCACAGAAATTCTATAAAAGAAATACACCATTTCATCAGAACGGTTACAATGGACTACAACTTCGCACTCTTGTACTTACTATTAAAGTAATTTTGATCTTTTACAAACTCGGATGGTGTAGTAAGTGTACGCAAACCGAAATCAGATATTTTCAAAACGAAACGTCCATCAATTAAACAATTGCAAGAACGAAGTTTTCCATGTACCTGAACATCGCTGTTATGCAAATAAGCCATGCCTTTAACTATGTCATGGATAAGAGACATGCGAAAATTCCAGTCAAGTTGGATAGCTTCGTTCTCAAGCACATCTTTTAGGCTGCCTTTCGGACAATATTCCGTTAGTATGAGTACAGTGGGCCTCGGCAAATCAATACATGCACCCACAAAACGTACTGTATTTTCATGACTAACGTCACGGGCCTGCTTGATTTCCCATAATAATGTAGAAGTTATGTCAACTTTTTTTTTATGTATTTTTTTGATGGCAACGCGCTCTCCTCGAAAGATACCAATGGTAGTGAAAACTTGCGTTAACGGCAATGACGTGCAACTAGTTATGGAAGCTCGACCCGAATGTATCCCGTATTGCTGGAGGGAGAAATTTTCTGCATTTAATTTTTGCAAACCCACTTTACTGCCATAAAGGCGACCAACTTCCAAAAGAACATCATCCGGTCGTACTCTCCACGACATGTTGTTCAATTCATTATTGAGCTTCATTTGTCTAATAAGCAAATGAAGGTATTAAGTAAAAAAAAAATTTAGAACTCAAATAAATTAAATCGAATGCTTACTTGCACATCAGATAGACTACCAGAAATGTGAAACCCAAAAATATCGCTAAGGCAAACATAGCATACATTACGATTAATTCTAAACGAAATGAAACTAACTTTAAGAAAAATGGGAATCATCAAAAACGACCAACCATTGCCATGGCACTCGGGCGAATTTCCTAAAAAACCACATCTAGGTATATCCGGAGGCGGTTCCTCTCGACCGCCAGGCCAATGTATCTTTTTACCGTGCACTTCTGAGTAATTGCTTAAATTTAAAATATACAAATGAGAAAGTTCTAATTGTATCCCGGGCAACCCACCACCTCAAGAAAATTTTAAAAAAATTGCAATTCGTTTCTTAATTCAAGGCAAGTCACTTAGCATCTCATTATGTTAACAAACATAAATATATCGTTATTTGCTAGCTATAGAGTGAAAAAGGGATAGATAAGACCAATACATCACGGCAACAACTCATTCTGATCACGACAATCGTCTACAGATCTCTAGAATTTCGATGGCAAATCCCGTTTAGGCGGTGGGTGTTGGAAGATGAAAGCGAAACGCTTACCGGTGTAAGCCATAGTAATGAGCAACAACTGCAAATTTCCCATTTATTGGATCCAAATCGAGAATAGAATAGTCTGCATCACGATCACCATTGTCATCGATACGAACGTGGCCAGTTATGCCATGAAAATCTCGATTCCACATTCGTCTTGTTATCGCCATGCCGTCACGTATATCTTCACCTTCGCTCAGAGTCTCATTCAAAGCCATACCAAGCAAATAGACGCCATCGTAGAAGGCGCCAATAAAGAAGTTTACCTAAACTCTTAAATGAATTCCGTTCATACTATTCATAATTTGCGTCGTGCTTACCTCCTCGCCATCGCTGAAGGTATAATTATAATTATGCAACGCCATGTCACGTACATTTTCAGCAAAGCCTTGATATTTAGGGCTGGAGGGTTGCAATAGTGAAACTCTTAATAAAGCCTCATAAGCCTTGCGAGCCCTTCCATCGTCATCATCACCCATTTCCCAATCATGATCGCCCCAATAGGTGCTCTATTTATAAATTATTCCAATCATTAAATTTTATACTTACATGCTAACTAACTAACTGTATGCAGACATGTTTTCAATGTTGAAAAGATCAATTAACCTGAAATATTTCAACATCGAGGAAAACCCAATCGCCATTCGTCATTCCCAAGGAGTAGGCGGCCAACATAAATTTACGGACCAAAGTACCGCGAACCGAAAGTATAACAACTAAAAATATCTATCACTTAAATCAATATATACACTTAATTATATACATATATATGTATAAAATCATAACATATATATATATAATCAATACTCAACTCAAAAAATATATACCTCGAGCATACATGCTGGCGTCACGTAAATAAATCTCATATGGTTCCTGTTCATTACCATTCAACTCACGAACGAAGCTCAACAGACCCTCTTGCCTTAAACCGTACTCCAAATTTTTGCCAACTGTTAGCGAAAAAAGATCAGAACGATCGACCAGCAAGGCTACATGCTTCCAATTGAATTGGCGAAAGACGCTAGCGAATACTAACTTCAAACGACACTGACAGTATGACATGCGTGTTAAAGTTGGATATTTCGTCTTATCTTTGAACATGCCCTGCAAGAGACGGAAAATTTGAATAAAAAATTCAAGAAATTGTTAAAGTGTTTTCATGCTCATAGCCGGCAGATCTGGATAGAAACTTTCGAATCTATATGAAAAAATTTGTTCTTTTTAATACTTCTCGACAAAAATCGCTGTATATTCGCGTGCAAAATTTGGATAAGAAAACACCATTTCTCGAATTCCTTCGCAAATAAACGTTCTTTAAAAAGGAAACTTTTTTATACCAACAAAGTCTATTCGTTAAAGATTGATCCAGATTAGTAGTTTGACATATCATTTTATTGTGCTAAATTAGGGTCGCATAGTGCTATTTTTCTGATCGCTCTCAACTTAAGGATGAAAAGTGGATCTTTCAACAAAGTGTAATATTTTATGATGTAAATATATGAAGTATTGTGTTCGGTGGAACATTGTACGTCAAATAATGATCGACTTTGTCCATGACCATGACGTTTTTACTCGTTGCAATCCACACAAATTGTGGCACAGAGTATGTTAAGTTTTTATTTTTTTTAATACGACCAATCACTTAGGGGATGCTCCCTGTTCGTGTTACATGGTGAGTGTCGCCAAGAAAGGAGAAAGCAGAAAGAAGTAGGGAAGTAGTAGCCGTACTCTAGCGGGTGTTTGTCCAATCGGTAATTCTTACGCCCCCACCGGCTGTCCCCAAACCATACTTACTACCGCACTTTGCCTTTGAACCCACGAACACTGAGTTGGTAGTCAGTAGGTAGATAAGTAGTCTTGGCTATTGTGTTACTCAGGAACTTATGTAACACCTAAGGTAGTTCAATCAATTATTCTACCGATGGATGCAGAATCATTTTTGGAATCGATTTAAGCTTGTCACACGTCCTGATCTGCGCCCGTATATTCTCACTTTCAAATTACAGACCGTAGCGTTTAGGACACTTGGGCGAAAATTAGAGCACTCACATTTTCGACCTATTATTATTATTACTAATTAAGTCGGCAATCCGTATCGCCCGTGCCTCTAAAAATGTCCGGTTTCAGGATTCTTATTATTGATTCATCTTGTCTGATTGCGCAGACTGCCTCATATTCACGTAGAATGTGGTGAGAGGTTTCACTCGTCCCTTAGCAGAATATGTGCGGAGATTGTATCGCAAATTTTCCAATTACCTTGCGTCCACATTGAGTTCAAAAACTATCCCGTCCGAATTCGCCGGGATTTTTTTTGTTTTGACCTAACAACAAAGGATGCTGGAAATGGATGGAATGGGACCATTTTTATGATACAATTTTGAAAAAGTTAATATTCAACAAAATTTCTAATTTTTACTGTTTCTTAATAAAAATGGGCGGATGGAAGTTAATATATTGTCGTACTAGATGAAGACGGAACATTTGGATTGAACAGGGCAATTTTCAAACCTCTTCCCTTACCAAAGTTCTTACAAAAGGCGAGTTCTAACTTATGTTACTTTATAATGAAAGTTGGTTAGCGGTGGGGGTTTGACATGTAGATGTTCTACGCTGAATTTACACTATATAAGCCTATTTCTTGGATATCTTCCCTTATAAGGGATCACAATAAAAATATGGCCTGATCTAGGTCTTAGTATTTTATAACAAAAACTGTTGATGAATTTCTCAACAGAAATATCAACTTTACTGATTAGGAACAGGAGGGTTCCTGGTTTAGAGCGTTAATCTTGCCCTGTAAGAGTTGCTACGAAAAGTATGTTTTTACCTGGAAAATAGATGTAATTTTTAATATTGTCGGCACTAAACTAAAAACTAAAGCTTCTGTAACCTGTAAACTAGTAGTCGGAATGTCGCGAAGTCTTGACACATTTGAAGGTTGATACTATGTAAAAATTGCATGAATTCGACGATATATGTATTTACGCTACGAATTTATTGGTTGACATATTATTTTAATGAGTCGAGAGCGCACCCTTTAGAAAGGCGCTAAAAACCAGCGCTGAGACCGCAAATTCAAAATGATTGAGCAGCACAATACTATTGAAATCCAAACGTATGTAGTCTTCTTGCCCTCCTGGAACATTAACTTACATTTTCCCGTATACTTACTGTGCTCTCATTTTTCCATTTATGAATGCGTCCCAAAATGCCCGACGTTACTGTTAATTCACCCTCTGAAGGTGGCTATGTTTATAAGAAGAGAAAAAAAGAGAAGAAAAAGATGTCAGCATCGTCTACGTACTATAATAGGTTAAATTTATGTAAAGGAACAAATCAAACTGTACTTAATTTATATCTAATTTATATAAACGTTTAATTACAGTCTAAATTCAAAAGCAAATTGCTTCAAAGCAATTTAACTAAGTTCTAAGGTCATCTTGTTATTGTTGTTATTATTATCCATACATAACTATATACATACACACAAGCACGCAAATTCATCTTCCATTCACGTGCTACCAATACAAATAAATTGTCAATGACCACGCAAACAAAACCGACGCGTACCTCGCCACGTTTCACTTTGTTTCGTTTTCGCCCTCTTCCGAGCTTATGTATGTAATGCAAGGGAAAGGATTTTTTTTTAATTTCATGTATAATTGTTATTCGGATGATAACAATTGCTTATAAATAGGGATAAACAAAAGCACTGTACATCCCTCGTACGTAGACAAGTATATAAATATACAGAGTAAAGGATTCTATACATACTTGATCTCCCATGCCGGTAATGATCGGTGAATTCCAATAGGCTGCCAATCGAGCAACAGGTTCCAAAGCGAACGCACATGCCGGTCCAATAAAAGCAATTACGTCATCCTTGAAATGCATATCTGCCGCTAAACCCGGAGCCTTGGCACCCGAACACGATGGATAACTATAGAAATTCAAATGAATTCAACAAGTAACTGTATGATAAACAAGCGTATATGTATGTGCATATATATGGGTTTGTTTATATGTATGCAGATATGTATGTGTATGCAAGACTTACAACGACGCACAGAAATCATTCACATAGCAAATGTGCCTGTACCTGTATGTATATGTATGTATAACCGTACATGTGAGTGTCACGGGTAGAAACACTGCTATAGATACAACTAGTCATTTTAACATTAAGCGATCATAAAGTACGAACAATTAACTCCGTTATTTGAAAAGAAAAATCAACGAAATGAATTAAATTAAAACAAGTAAGAAAATTACGTTGGGTCGTGACCGAATCTTGCATGCCTATCACCAACACCGTCATCCTAAAATAGACTAGAAAAGCAAAAGAACCAAATTTTCATGCTCATGCATTGTATGGAATGCGCGTCTATTTTCAGAATTAAAGTATTTGCCGTATAAGCGTGTGGGTGTTGTAGTGTCACTTTTAAATTCTTTCGCAAGTTTATAAGCGATAAAACCATTTTTGGTAACGGGAGAAGGTTTACTATGCACACAAGACAGTTCGCGGATAGGCAGATGGACCCACGAACACACGGCCATTCCAAGTCTGAAACAAGGGCAAGGGTTTGTATACATTGTGGCGTTTTTGAATCTTGTTTCTGAGCCTTATGAAGATATTAAAAAAAAACGTAATTTTGATACACTATATTATTCGGTAGGCATTTTTGTGCAGGTACTACAGCATTACGCGTAGAATACGCATTCAAATTTTTGTACATTTGTCTGCTGTAGTTTATGTGTAATGAGCAAAAACCTGATATTTTATTTCTGGTCTTTGATATTTCCTTCTGGGATTTGCAAACGTTTTGGCGAAATGAATATGCCTCTCATCCTGCGATGATCGGTGTAAAAAGGAAAACAGGACGGCAAGAAGGTTTCTTTTCTTTGTCTTGATTAGAACGAAGAATACATATAAACTTGCTTTTGCGTAACATTGTTTTCATTGCGTCTTGCGAAATTTTCAATTTTTCATTTTGGATATTTTTTCTCTTTTTCGTGATTAGGAAATTTCACCTGGCTTGCACTTTACGCAGTGTTATATTGTGAGGCCGCAAGAACTCATCATTGATAACGTCTAAGGCTAGATCCACTGCTGGGCCACAACGTTCCAAATCGAACGGTGAATCTATAAACGAAACTTTAGTAACTTAACAAGCATAAAATTTGAACTATGAACTCGATTCGCTTACCTAAATGTGAAGCCATTAAAACGCCAACATTATATACACGATTGCCAATTTCGTCGTATTCAATGGTCTCTCGTTTTCTGCGAGGGCTTATGACCTCGTCATCGTTACTATTGATAATAATGAAATTTTCACCAGTTGCTAAAGTCTGCAAATCGTACAGCGAATTATCAATAATCAGATGTTCGGAACTATCTTTGGGCACGTCTTCAGCCCAATAGCTTTCATCAAAATGTATACGTTTCGGCTTGTGACCGATGGCGAAAATATCTACGGCTACCAGCAAACAATAACCGATATTTAACAATAAATTGATCTGCATTGTAAGTCACTTTGCTTCTAAATTATTATCAAATTTTGTATTATCTAATGACATCAGCACAGTTTATCTACATTTTAATTGAAGTAAATTGAAGTAAATTGAAGTTATCTTCTGACTGTTCGTTCGGAATACCAAAATCGATACAGAATCACAACAAATACAAGAACAGTACACATTGTTTTCTTTTAAAGCATGTGTCCGATCCCAACGCCAGAATACACCTTTAAATAAGTACACCTTTATCTGCGAAATATATTAATAATAAACAGCTAAGTTAAGTAGAGAACAGCTCTCCATCACCGACCACTGAATACCGCACTACCCACCCTACTTCGCTTGATACAGTTAGTTATTCATGTATTTTCGTTATAATAAAACAAAATTTTACATTATTTTCATGTAAATAGGCCTACTTTTCATGAACGATCTCATAATCGAGGGTGTACATAGTGGAATTTAGAAAACAGAGCAGTGTGATGCAAATTTCCTGCAAAATACGTCAATTCAAGGGGTCGAAATGTAACAACCTCAATTTTATTATTTTCCAGTTATTCTTGTTATAAAAGATCACAAATTCGTCGCCATACAATGGATAATTTTTCACATAGAACCAGTGTATATAGTGGAATCTAGAAAATAGAGCGATGTGATCCAAATTTCGTACAGTTAATTTTTAGGTCAAATTACTGTTATTATTATACTTCGTCGTAGAATATTGAATATTAGACTCTCTTGGCCTATAAGGGCTTATTTTTCATGACAATCCTTGCATTTGGCGGGATCTAAAAAATAGAACTATATGGCCCAGATTCGTTAATGTTAATTTTCATGTCAAATTACTATCATTGAGCAAATTTCATCAAAATGTCTATTAGGAAAATGTCTCAAGGTATAATTAAGCCGCCTATACGTCATAATGAAAAATTTCGAATTTCATTTATCGGACGATTGTTCATTAGTTTCGTAGAACGTTATATGAGCGATCGAAGAAATTATTCAGTGCGAATCATTTTCGAAAACATTCTTTCTTAAAACAAAACACATTAGTGCGCGATATTTCAACAAAATATCTCAAAAATTGCAATTTGTAGGTTGAACACAAGAAAATTTGACTGAGAGAAAAACCGTCATAATAACGGGCGGAGAGATGAAGTCATTCTGTATGTTACATACATCCACACAAACGTAATGTAACTTGTACCACAAGTCGAGAAGGATATGAAAAGAAAACTTGCGAAAATTTTAACATATTCGGTCCAAGTGTACAGAATTAATAGAAGACATATTGAGGCATAAGAATATTGACTCGTAAAATATAAGGGGTAAGGCCATTGTAAATTTAAAAAAAAAAAGGAATTTTTTCTGTTTGATTTGGACCTTCTGGAACATTTAGAAAAAATTCATTACCTTTAAGAAATTTCATTCCCTTAAAATTTCGCGCCTGTTCCCAAAATGCTCAGAGTAGCAGCAGAAGAGACTTTTTCGAGCTTTATCGAGAAAAGAAAATGGGGAAGTGTAAGTGAACATGAAAGTAGATTTACATGGCTCTGGGACTGCAAACTAATAGAGACACTTTGTAGTCCATGTCAAATTTTTAAACGCATCTGCTCCAAAACATTGTTTTTAATAACGATACGCAACATAATTCCAACAATTTTCTTTTTTTTCGCTGAAATTCACTAGACTACCTTTAAATGGACAGTCTCGGGAGAAATATGTAAGATATTTTCGTCGAGTGAAGTTTTTGTTAACAAAAGGATGCTTTTTTCTGGTCAAAAATGTAAATTTTCTATCAATTACTCGGCAATCACACAAACATTAATATTTTTTTAAAAAATCCTACTATAGCTCTTCTCTTCTTCAGATTAGAATTTAGAACAGTTACCCTATTTGTCGCATGGACCCTTCAGCCGAAGATGTTTGGGATGTTGGCACTTTTTATTATTTTTCTAAAACAATTTGCGTTTTAACAATTAAATATGACCCATATGACATCCTTGCCAAATATTATTATTATGCTGTTACCTTTCCTTTCATTTACAAAAAAAATTGTCAAAATAAATAAAATAGCAAAGCGACTTCTCAGTACGAGACATTTTAAGGCATACTCTTCGATCGCGAAGATCGCTTTAATTGTAAGCAACGAAAAACAATCTGGCTGATCTATGTTCAATGTCCTATACGCTCTGATGGAAAAATAAGTAAAAACACCATAGTCGGCCCATCCTTCTACATTTATTCATGTAACGAGCAATTTTCCAAAATAAGACATTATATGACGAACGGTCGAAGAAGATTGTGTCAAAATGCATTATTTTACCAAATGCACTCAAAATGTCTCAAAAATCGCGATCTGCAAATTGACCACAAGGAAACAAGACGAACAAGTGGATAGACAAAATTAAATGGATTCGGAAAGTGATTCTGAATTGATCGGCGGAATGAAAGGTGGATCTATTTCAACACTTTCTGCATATATCCGCATTTTATATGCCGTTATGGGCTATAAAAATAGAATAGGATAGTCTCTTACTTGCCAGAGCCCAGTCTTCTTTAGTTCCACAACTTATTTTCTTAGTCTAAATAGTTTATAACAATAATAATCATAATAATTTCAGATATAAATAATAATTTTTTAACTAGAAAATTTAATTGTTAACACGTAACTTTTATATCCAACAAATGTTCAGAAAATCAAGATCCAAATATTTTCAACAATTGCTTCGTCCCCAATCTGCAGTTGTGGACAAACTCTCATTATAAAGCACATTCTATGCGATTGCCTTAACTTTTCCTTGGCTAGAAGTTATTGCATTTGGAACGATTAATCCTATCGACATTCTACAATCAGCTATAGAACAATATATCAATACAATATACTACGATACAACTTACTTCGTCAAAACAACTAGGCTCAGTATCTAATTTACTTTCATAAATTGGAGCCGATAGCCTGTGTTGCTAGTGCTCAATGTCTTTTTCTTAGTCTAAGAATTTATTTCATAATAACAATAATAATGATTCATAATCGAATACCAATCAAAAAGATTTAATGAAACAAAAAAAAAAAATTAAAAATTATAAAAAATAAAACATCATCACATACACTCATTAAAATGTGGAAATTACATGAACTGTTAAATCAACACACGAACTTCGAAACCTTTTATCTCAACATAAACGATATATTCGCAACGATATATTTTCAAGATATTTTGATTTTTGAAATTTGATACATCGAGATGTTTTCGCCCAAGAACAGGTACTTTTAAATATGCTTCTGCTCGGACCTATTTCTTGATCACTTCCCATACACATTCTCGTTATTAAAAGTCGTTACGTAAGCAACTGTAGGGTGGTGTAGGATGTTTTATGTTTTATCATACCGACGGGCTCACTATAATCTTTGTACTCGTTTTTAATTACTCTAATTATTTCCAGACTTGTTTATAAACTTTTCAATACTTTCTTTAGAAATAAGTTATTTAATATTCTAAGAATTCTTTAAAGAATATTTAGAGATAAGAAACAATGGTTATGGCACCTTGATGTCAAATTATGTTTAAATTAAAATATTGCTCTTTATTTTGCACTTAAATGTTTATCCATTCCTTCTTTTTTTCTTATTTTTTTAATAATAAGTACAAGAATCATATACGCGCTGAGTTCAAATAAACTAAACACTCACGAAATTCACACACTCGTATAATGCAATCATTATTAATAAATTTCGTGACAATTTTTTTGACCGAAGATCACTATTAGGCTGTCTTCTCGTGAATTTACTCATTTAATTTCGATTCTTTCTGGCCTGGACATCACGACTTAATCAAAAATTGAATCAACGCCTTAATCTCAAAATTGTTTCCCTTTTTTTTAGTTTTTGCAATCGTTTCTTTCACTTTTTTTATCCAATGCAAATGTAATATAATTCAATTTTTCCATTTCTTAAACTTTTTGTGCTGCTGGCGACAGTAGACGTGGCGTATGAATGAAGTTGTTACCGATTTTGCTGCTGCTTTTATATGAAAGTCGGTCTTAAATTGTGTGCGTGTATCCTCATCAATATTTTAGTAATAATAAGATAATTATGCAAAACATTTCCAACAGGATAAACGCAACAGAACATACGTATTCACGCACACATATGCATAATGTCTTGAAGAATGGGTGATACTTCAAAACACGAAGGCAATGCTGTGAAAGAAACTCGTCGCATACGAACTTCTTTTATATAAAACACAATCAAACAACACATACACATACATATTCATTACCTTGTTCATTAAGAAAATCAATTGTTTCTTCGTATTTGTGCATTTAAATTTGCCGCGTTAAAGAAGAAGAAAAGAAGGTTTCAATGTCGCGGTCGCGTGCCAGCCTTTTTTTTTTTTTTTTCTTCTTAATATTATTGACCGGTTTGGTGTCCTGCTGTCTTAATTGAAATCTCATTATTTCAAGAACACTTACATTTGATTATTATGGATTACAGGAAATAAAATGTTTTATTAAATTCTTTAGATTTTGATTTATTTATTTTTTGCCTTCTTTTTTTTTTTTAATGTACATTTTTATTATCATTAGCACGTCGGATTGTACGAGTAGGCCAAGGGTCTCGACTAACAACTCACTGATCGCGGGTTTAAACCTTAAGAGCGGTAGGGGGAGAGAGATGTTTTGCCAGGACGTTTACCACAACAATTGCACGCATACTACTGCATATTTAGGATTAATGCAATATCCGTGATCAGCGAACAAAAAATTTCTTTGCAAAAAATTCGATTGGGCAGGGCATCCAATCGAATCCAAAGAGACAGGGCAGAGACGCGTTGAGGATTTGTTCATCGTATTTCAGTAACTACAGCATCACATTTGCTCATTCGCTTACGAGCTACGAGTTGAACCAATGCATAACTAATAGCAATATACTTTTTCCTATTTTTTGAGGGGTTTCGAAATCAAAAATTATAAGGGCTATGGTATAATATAATATTTTGTGT